CGACACGGCTACACACAGGGTCCAAGCATGCCATATGCTAGAGACCACTGCCCAAGCTGTTTCTTGTATATGGGAACAGACCACATACCCAAAAGCAGCTACTCAGCTGCTCACAGTAGATTCCACCATGGAGCTGATTACCATTCTCATGGGGAATACTACATCCAGCTGCTCAGCCACTCAACCAGGCCCAGCCAAATTGACACACAAACTTACCCCCCCACATACCGTATGGTTTAAAATCAGGAAAGGTGTGCATTAGGGCTGTATCTTTTCACTGTACTTATTCAATCTGTATGCTGAACAAATTACCCGAGAAGCTAGACTACATGAAGAGCGTGGCATCAGAACTGGAGGAAGACTCATTAACAACCTGCGATATGCACGTGGCACAATCTTGCTTGCTAAAAGTGAAGATGACTTGAAACACATACTGATGAAGATCAAAGACTACAGCCTTCAGTGTCAACGGTAACTCTACATAAAGGAAATGAAAATCCTCACAACTGGGTCAATAAGCAACATCACAATAAATGGAGAGAAGATTGAAGTTGTCAGGGATTTCATTTTACTTGGAGGTACAGTCAATGCCTATGGAAGCAGCAGTCAAGAAATAAAATGATCAAATCTGCTGCAAAAGATCTCTTTAAAGGGTTAAAGAGCAAAGAAGTCACTTTGAAGACTAAGGGTGCCTAACCCAAGCCATTTGACCGCTAACCAAAAGGTTAGTGGTTTAAACCCACCAGCCACTCCACAGAAGGAAGATAGAGCAATCTATTTCTGTAAAGATTTACTGCCTTGCAAACCTGATAGGGGTTGCTGTGAGTTGGAATCAATTTAATAGCAGTGAGTTTGGTTTTTTGCTCATATGCATGTAAAAGCTGAACAACGAATAAGGAAGACCGAAAAAGAGTTGATGCATTTGGTTGGTGCTGGTGAAGAATATTGAAAATACCACGGACTGCTAGAAGAATGAATAAATCTGTTTTGGAAGAAGTATAGCCAGAATGCTCCTTAGAAGCAAGAATGGCCCAACTTCCTCTTGTACTTTAGTCATGTTGTCAGAAGGGACCAGTCCCTCGAGAAGGGTATCATGCTTGATAAAGTAGAGGGTCGGCGAAAAAGGGGGAGACCCTCAACAAGATGGACTGACATAGTGGCTGCAATGATGGGCTCAAGCATAGCAATGATTATGAGGACGGTGCAGGATGGGGCAGTGATTCGTTCTGTTGTACGTGGGGTCACTAAGAGTCACAGCCAATTTGATGGTAAGTAACAACAACAATAACACTGTGGACATATTTGCTTCCTATGCATGCATTCTCAACAAGCTATTAGAACTTGTGTTCCACCAAAACACCTTTGTCTAGGGCATAAACTTAGAACCATCTCTGCTCCTCTTCCCCTACACTCCTTGTGGTGGTTATGTTTGTGTGGCTGGGTAGCTGGTGGTAGTTATTCCCCATGATGAGACTGGCAATCAACTCTGTGGTGGGATCTACCGAAAGCAGCTGAGTAGCTGCCTTTGGGATGTGGTCTGCTTCCCGTATATAAACAGCAGCTTTGGGAATGATCTCTAGCTTATGGCACGCTTGGACCCTGAATGTAGCCATATCATTGTTCAGCAGCCTGCCATGCTCTGCCGACCTTAGGACTTACAATGGACTTGAATTAATGGTCTGCTGTATGGTCTGATAACATGGGGACTGTGCCTTTTTACTTGTCAACCCTGGGTTTGTCAGCCTCAGCAGCCAGCAGCTGTCTGAGTGAAGAAATGCCTCTAGCTCCAGTGGGTCAGAAGCAGGAGGCAGAGCTGAAGCCCAAGGCTGAGGGGCTTTCACCCAGCCCCTACAGCCTGGCACTTTGAACTTAAAGCCTCCAAACTGTTAACTCCTTTTAAGGCCATCCTATTTGTGGTATATATTCTTGTCAGAGTGGCACTAGGTAACCAGAACACTCCTGAACACCTTTTCTTTCTACTATAATGAAACTATTTATTGTTAGAACCAGAATGAACCTTGGTGATCATCAGCTTAACCTAATTTTATCAGTGGAAGAAAAAACTGAGGCATCTTATCCAAGTTGGAGTGGGCACCAGAACAGAGGCCCCTAGAATTCCACTTATTGGCTACACACACTGCCTCCCTGATGGGTTTGATGATAGACATTATTTTTGTAAGAAGCCTCGGTGGCACAATGTTTGAGTCCTTGGCTGCTAATCAAAAGGTCAGTAGTCTGAGCCCATCAGCACTCCACAAAAGAAAGACATGGCAGTCTGATTCTATAAAGATCACAGCCTAGGGAACTCTGTGGGGGCATTTCTACTCTATCTTATAGGGTCACTATGAGTGAGAATCAACGTGACGACACCCAACAACTCTCCCCCATATTCTTGGTTTCATCAAGGGCACCACCACCGATAAGCACCCAAGCTAGGAACCAAAGTCATCCATGGAATTCTCATCTCTCAAATCCAATCATCAAATGTTGATCATTTTGTTGCTGCTGTCGGATGCCATAGAGTTGATTCCCACTCACGGCGACCCCGTGACAGAGTAGAACTGCCCTATGGGGTTCTTCTGCTGTAGTCTTTACCAGCAGTAGATACCTAGATCTTTCTATTGTTGATCCACTGTGTGGATTCAAACTGCCAACCCTTCAGTTAGCAGCTGAGCACTTAGCCTTGATTCTCTCCCTAGTCCCATGGCCTCAGTTTAGGTCTTTAGCATAATAACTACCTAACCTGTCTCCCTGTCTCCAGAAATCTAACCTCTACAACGTGGCCACAACGCAAATCCAACCATGTCACCCTGTTCCTTAAAACCCTTCAAAAGCTTCCCAACATCTGACCAGCATGCACGATAAACATGTGGGAAATGGTCACTCTCCACATCATAACCGCCCCTACACACACACAGACACACACACACACACATCGGTTTCCTGTTAGCTGCCTCTGAGTCGGCCCCCAACTCATGGCAATGGCATATGAAATGGTCCTGCTCCACCCCCGTGATCACATGCAGATCAGACCAACTGTGACACATCGGATTTTTATTCAGAAGTAGACTGCCAGGCCATTGTTCCTAGTCCCCCTTAGTCCAGAAGCGCTGCTCGAACCTGTTGAACATCACAGCAACACACAAGCTCCACTAACAGGCAGGTGGTGGCTGGGCATGAGAGAGCTGGCCAGAACTCAAACCTCGTCTCCCACGTGGAAGGTGAGAATTCTACCACTGAAGCCCCACCCCCACCTCCTCCCATGGGAGACATTATTAACTGACCACGGCACTCTCCCACATAGCCTAGACGCAGTATCATATACTTTTTCAACACAGCACTCCAGTCACATATCATGAGATGAAACAATTTGCTAATCCTATTCAGTATAAGAGGAGCTCTGGTGGTGCAGTGTCAAAGGCATCTGACTGCTAACCAGACGGTTACCTGTTCAAACCCAGCTGCTCTGCAAAAGGAAGATGGAGCAATCTACTTTCTGTAAAGATTTACCACCTTGGAAATCCAATGGGGGTCACTATGAGTCCGAATTGACCCCATGGCAGTGGGTTTGGTTTTTTTTTGGTTCAGTATAAAGGCTAGGAATTTTAGCAAGGCACAGAGGCCCTTCCAGACTTACTAATGCCTTTCTAGACTCCTACAGGGAACTGAAGGAACCCGGGTGGTTCCTTGGGTGCTAACCAACAGGTTGGTGGTTCAAACCCACTGGCTGCTCCACAGAAGATCTGAGGATTTGCTTCCATAAAGACTGTTGCGTGACTTCGAGTTGACCTGACTCATTGTGACCCTACAGCACAGAGTAGAACTGCACCATAGGGCTTTCCAGGCTATCTAAGCTTTACAGGAAGGAGCCCTGGTGGCACAGTAGTTAAATATTTATCTGCTAACCAAAAGGTTAGTGATCTGAACCCACCCAACAGCTCCTGGAGAGAAAGACCCGGCCATCTGCTCTCCTAAAGGTTATAACCTAGGAAACCCTAGGGGCAGCAACACAGGGAACTGTGTGGATTTCACCACTCTCTCAATGTTTCCCACCTCCTTCCTGGTGCTCAAAGAGCTCTGGTGGTGCAGTGGTTAAAGCACTCAGCTGCTGACTGAAAGGTAGGCGGTTTGAGCCAATCACTGGGATAAAGATGTGGCAGTCTATTTCCATAAAGATATATACAGCCTTGGAAACCTATGGGGCAGTCTTCCTCTGTCCCATACGGTTCCTATGAGCAGAAGCTAACTCGATAGCCACGGGTTTGTTTGGGGTTTGGTTCAGGTTGCTTCCTCCCCTTGCTCTTGGCCTTGCCACATCTAAGACCCTCTGTTACCCTCAGTTGATCTTTCCCCTGCGTTGTTTCATGTATCTTGGTCCCAACCACACAGTCCTCAAATTCTGTTTACAAGTCTCTTTCATTGGGCTGAACTTATTAAAGGGCCAAGGCCTATCTTATTCTATTTTCAATATTTAGAAGTGCAATAATTAGTTGCTGCAATTGAATTGCTGCAAGTGCAGCAGGGCACCAGGGATGAAATAGAAGAGTAGTCTCTGCGGGGGGAGATAAACTAATTAGCTTACTAATTGGTAAAACTAACATTACATCTTGCCAGACGGTCAAACGTCTAAGTCCGCTTTTTGCTGCACTTTCTACAGCCCCACGATCAGAACCGTGGCTGCCCTCCGTTTTGCTCTACTCGTGTTCTGCGCTTCGTTTATATTTCAGTTTGGTGGCTGGCACTCCTAGACTGTAAGCTCTCTGAGGGAAGGACCGGTGTCCGTGCGACAATCCTGGCGACAAGCAGCACGTGCGGAACAGTAGCCTTTCCCAGACCCCGGGCCCCAGGCCCTTCAGGCCGCCCCGCCTCTGCCCGCCCGCCCCCTCCTCACGCCCGGCTTCCCGCCTTCCCGGAAGTCGCCGGCATCTCTGCCCTCCCACGTGGAGCCTTTTCCGGTCCGCCCGCCCCCGCCGACTTTCGGGTCCGGAGCTGGCCCTCACCTCAGGATTCCCAATGTGCCTCCGGACAGACATATTTTCTCCAGCCGACCAGGCTCAGGGTTCTAGCCTCACCGGCAGCCGCTAACCCTAGCTCCCTACCCCCACCACCTCCGTTCAGCCGCCTCCCTAGAACCTCGCCTCCGATTGGCCTGACCTCGCTGGTAGGCCAATGGCGGCCTCGTTTACTATCTGATTGCAGGGAGAGGGAGAGCGAGCCTCGGCTCAATGGTTGCCTGGGGTAACGCGGGACGCCGGTGGCCCGGGCCTTTTGTGCTCGGTGCCCAGCCCGCCGCCGCAGCAGCCTTTGCGCGGGAAGAGGGGAGCGCCGAGGGGGAAGGGCGGCTGGCACGGGGGCGGGGGCGCGGAGCTGGAGCAGGAACCGAGAGGGGCTCGGAATTGGAAAAAACAAACGTTTCCAGCTAATGTACAGCAGATACTGCACAATGCCCCCTCTCCCCTTTTAATGCCATTTTAACCAAACATCTGGTCTACTTCTTCCACAATGGGGAATACGACGTGGGACAGTTATTCAGCAGGAATGGAAATGTGTAGGCTGTTATTTTCAGGTTAAGTTAATATGCAAATTATGCAAAATATCATGGGTAAATACAATAATTATTGTTGCTTTAAAAGCTTTTAAGCAAGCTAAAGAACGGCAGCTTTAATTGCAAAGCACACACACCATTCTGTGATTCATCACTCATTTAACAAATAGTTAATAAGCACCTTGTGAGAAAAGCTGCAGTAGGTTTTGTGGAGGATGGGAAGATGACTAAGACTCAATCCCGTCGTCATGGAAACCATTGTGACTCTTGCCACCAGCCACCACCTGTTCTTATTCCAGATCTGAAAATTAAGTCCTAGCACCTTTACAAAACAATTACACACACAGTTTGACTTGGCTCCTAAATGTCCCACCAAATCCATCACAATTATTATTTCTTTTTACATGGGAGGAAGAACACAATAACCCTTTGTCCTTTTGCTCTAAGTTGTTTTTACAGGAATGGATAAAGGGTACCCTGAGCTGTTGGTATTCTCTGGCTCTGCCTGTAAATAATATATATTTGACTACTTCAGGGTCTATGCAAATGAGCCATTTAACTTATCTTTGGCCTTTCGGACACTTCAGAAAGATGCCCTGAGGGCCACATCTTGAATCCTGTTGTCACTCAGAGCTGCTTGATCTCCAGGATCCTGAATTCTGGCCACCACCGTCTGTGCACTTCCTTCATTTTTTCATACATGTGTGTCCTTATCCTAACTTCCAGTCCTTTAAAATCCATTATCATTGAGTCAATTCTGACTCTAGCAACCCTTTAGGACAGAGTAGAACTGCCCCATAGGGTTTCCAAGGCTGTCAATCTTTACAGAAGCAGAGTGCTTCATCTGTCTCCCAAGCAGCTCTGGTAGGTTCGAACCACCAACCTTTTGGTTAGCAACCAAATGCTTTAACCATTATACCATCAGACCTCCTTCTTCAGTCTTTTAACCCCTGCAAAATTCCCAGTGCCTCACACTTCCACCAGAATTTCAGTAAGAAAAAGTTTACCAAGAAAATACCAAACTCATCGCAGTGAAGTCGATTCCAATGCATAGCAACCCTACAGAACAAAGAAGAGTTGTGCCATAGTGTTTCCAAGGCTGTAATGTTTATGAAGCAAACCGCCACATCTTTTTCCTGGGGAACAGTCTTTCAGTTAGCAGACAAGCATTTCACCACTGCACCACCAGGGCACCGTAGAAAAGGTTTAAAAAACCAAACCCATGGAGTTGACCCCAATTCATAGTGACCCCCAGTGGGTTTCCAAAGCAGTCAATCTTTATAGAAGTAGCTTGCCCCATCTTCCTTCTGCAGAGCAGCTGGTAGGTTTGAACCAAAAAGCTTTGGGTTGGCAGTCAAATGCCTTAGGCACTGCACCACCAGAGCACCTTTAGAAAAGGTTTGTTGTTGTTAGAAAAGGTTTGGGGAGCGCAACATATTGAAAGGAGAGTGATGGGGAGGATATTTATTACTCTAGAAGTTTTTGCAAAGCAACAGAAGCCTATAGATACTTATTACTTGGAATGTGTGCTTACTTGGTACAGCTTCCGGGTGAGAAGAAGAGATACCCAGGTAGAATAAGCAGGAGAAAAAGAAGAAGAGAGGAAGACAATGAGGGAGTCAACTAAGAGATGGTAAGACAAGATGGTAAGTAAGACATTAACTTAGTAGTTACAGTATTCATGTGAAGAGGTAAAGTGGGTGAGGAATAGGAAGGCATCAAGGATAGCTCTAATATTTCTGACCTTGGGGACTCCATAGCTGGGTGATAATTTATCAATCTAGTTAAGACACAATGGTGGTCAAGAAGTCGAAAGAACAGTAAGTTCAAGACCCAATTCTACTTCCTCTTGTCAATATTCTGCCTCATTCCTTTGTAGTATTGTCTTCTTTTCATTTCAGAAGGTATGAGAATATCAGGTTTATTTGCCTAAATAATTGTTAATGTATGTTACGGATGGATTGTGTCCCCTCAAAATATGTGTTGTAAATTCTACACCTGTGGTTATAAGCCCATCTGGGAATGAGTTTTCTTTGTTACATTAATGAGGCAGTTTCCGTGTAGGGAGTGTCTTAAATCAGTCTTTTGAGATATCAAAGAACAGATTAAGGGGTGTGTGTGTGTGGGGGGGGGGGAATAGATGCCAGGCCACATGAAGATGACCAAGGGATCTAGGAACAGGAACAAAAAAGAGGCAAGAACCTTCCTCCAGAACTGACACAGAGAGAAAGCCTGCCCCTAGATCCAGCACCCAGGAGTTCAGACTAACCTCTTAAACTGTGAGAAAATGGATTGGTTTGTTAAAGCCCCACCCGCCTGTGGTATTTCTGTTACAGAAGCACTGGAGACCTGGGGCCCTGTGTTTGTGAAAGTGGGGCTGTGTTTATAGAGAGATTGTTAGAAATGGGGGTTCTTAGAGCCAGGGTCAGAGAAGCCAGTTCTGTGTGTGGGGGGGTGGGGGTTGTTGTTGTTATGTGCCGTCGAGTCAAACCCGACTCATAGCGACCCCTCCTTGGGTTTCTATGGAAGTAGGATTGCCCAACCTTCCTTCCGAGGAGTGGCTGGTGGGTTTGAACCGCCAGCCGTCTGGTTAGCAGGCAAGTGTCTTAGCCACTATGCTACCAGAGAAATTTAAATACACATTCCTCTCCTGAATTCTGATGCAGGGGCTCAGGGGCAGCGCTCTGAGAGACCCCACTGCAGAAGAGCCACCACCCTGCCCTTTGAATTTCACCTCCAGTAAACCCTTTAAACAGCATGAGTCCCCTTGCAGGATGCCTTTTGAGCCTTCTATCCCAAAACTGGATCAAAATGAAAGGAAACTGCTTTCCCCCCATATGAAAAAATAGGTAAATGACACAAAATGATAAACTATTTCATAAACATATGGAAAAACGTCTAACTTCCAATGAAAGAAATATAAAACAAAACAGCTAGATCCCATTTTTCAGCTAACAAATGGGAAAAATAATTTATTTTCTCTCTATTTTAAATGATAATGCTCAGTGTTGGCTAATGACTCTTGAAACACACATGCTCCTATATTGTTGGTACGAAGACAAACAAGTGTGACCATTTGGAGAGTAAGTTTAGAGTGGGTATCAAGAAGCCCTCAAATCTTAGTTTCTGTATGTGTGATTTGGGTGAAAATTTACAGAGCAAATTGGTTTTCCATTCAAAAACCCATACCCATTCTGTTTTGTGACATTCACTGCAGTCCCCACATTGTAACAGCATGCTTCCCACTTCCTCCCTTTGTCCTTCCTTCCCATCCCCTCTTGCCTTCCTAGCTCTGTCTCTGGGCAAGTAATGTCTTCTTGTTCTCATGTGCTTGATTGTTGTAATGAGTGCACACCCTCCTGATATTACTGTTCACCTTATAGGCCTGCCTATCTATCATTTGGCTGCGCGCTGAGTCATGGGGGTTAAATTCAGTTCCTAGCTTAAAGAGGAGACCCAAGGAGGGGTCTCTATGAGTCGGGGCCGACTCAATGGCAAATAACAACACAACAACAGCTTAAAGTGTCCAAAGGCCATAGTCTCAGGGCTTCCATCGATCTTTATCAGACCAGTAATCCTGGTCTTTTTTTTATCCAAATCTTAATTTTTTTTTTTTTTTTAATTAGGATTTGGGTGAAGATTTACAGAGTAAATTCACTTTTCATACAGCAGTTCACATATACTTTGTCTCATGTCATTGACCAAAATTTACAATGCAGCAGCTCCCCTCCCACTTCCTCCCCATAGTTACCTCCTCCCAGTGTCCATCCCTTCATACTCTTCTGCACCCTGAGCTATCTCCCTGTGCATAAGCAGCCTTTCCTTCTCCCATGATTGTTCTCACCAGGGCGTGTGTCTACTTGAGGTAAATGTTTAACTCACATGCCTGTACTTTGCCAAATCTTAATTTTTAAAAAATTCTTCCTAAGGAAATAATCAGAGAGATTGCACAAAGATGATGTCCACAGATGTTTACTGTAATCCTACTTATAATAATAAAATATTGAAACATCCTAAGTGATTATGGATGAACAAATGATTAAAACAAATTATGTCAGATTGGGCAATCTACTTCTGTAGTAATACCGCTTCGGAAACCCAAGGAGGGGTTGCTATGAGTGGGATCTGACTCGACAGCAGTGAGGTGGTTTTTTTTTTTTTTTTTTTTAATATCAGTCCTAGAAAAACTATTATGGAATCATTAACGTGTTTCAAGGAATAATGAAGGCAATGGAGAAGTATTCATAATATAGAAAGTTAAAAGCAAGAAACAACTTTGGATACAATATCACTGATTTTCAGGGGGAAGACGTAAGTACGTATTCGTAGGAAAAATATTTCAAGTTAACTCATCTCTGAATTATAGGATGTGGATATTTGTTTTATACTGTATGCTTTTGTGCATTTTGCTGATTTTCTTCAGTGAATATGAATTAACCTTTTACTTCAAAAGTTAACATTTTTCTCCTAAGAAGAAAAAAACCTGATGTGGGCTTCAGCCTGAA